AGACAACTCACAGGATGGGAAAAGTTATTTACAAATCATATGTCTGATAAGGGATTTCTATCAAAAATATGTTTTTAAAAAATCCTCAAATTCAGCAATAAAAAGACAACCTAATTTTAGAATGAGCAAAAGATAGGAACAGAGTTTTGCAAACAAACAAAATATATATACAGTAAAATCTTGGATTGCGAGTAACTGGTTCTGTGAAAGTCCTACAAGATGAGCAAACATTTCTAATAAATTTTAACTTGATAAACGAACAATGTCTTGTAATACAAGTAGTACGTGATCCTGAATGTCACATGATCACAACTGAGCCAATGATTCTTGAAGTTCATCTTAATATACAAGTGCTTTGGGTTACGAGCATGTTTCCAGAATGAATTATGCTCACAAACCAAGGTTTTGCTGCATATGAAATTGTCCAGTAAGCACATGAAAAGATACTTAATGTCATTAGAGAAATGCAAATCAAAACTACAGAGAGATACCACTTCACACTCACTGGGTTGACTATAATAAAAAAGACAGACAATAACAAGTGTTGACAAAGATGTAGAGAAATTGGAACCATTGTACATTGCTGGTGGGAATATAAAATGATGCAGCCACTTTGGAAAACAGTTTGGCAGTTCCTGGAAGTTAAATACAGAGTTACCATATGACCCACCAATTCTACACTTAGGTATATATTCAAGCAAAATGAAAACACATTCATAAAATAGTTGTACATGAATGTTTATAGCAACAGTATTCATTCCAAAAAATGGAAACAATCCAAATGTCCATCAACTGATGAATAGACAAAATGTAGTATGTTTACACATGGCATATAATTCAGCCAAAAAAAGCAGGGATAAATGATACACATTTCAACATGCACAAACCTTGAAAACATTATGCTAAATAAAAGAAGCTGAACACAAAAAGTCACATATAGTATAGATTCCATTGATACAAAATGTCTGGAAAAGACAAATCCATTGAGACAGAAAATTAGTGGTTGCCAGGAGCTAGGAAGAGAATGGAATGCGATGTGACTACTTATGGGTATGGGGTTGATGAAAAAGTTCTGGAACTTAGTGGTGATGGTGGCACAGCCGTGTGAAATATGATACCAATTGTATTAATAAAATGCATGTATCTACATCTGTATTTACATATATATATATCTTGGTGGTGAGATAACAAGTGGTTTTTTATTCTTTTAATGCATTTTTCTATTCTTTCTCACCACCACCACAGAGAACATACATTACCGTCGTACCTTAAAAATGAAAACCTCCTAAAATCAGTTCAAATCAAATTCAAAAGCCGAGATCTTGCATTCTTCTAATAATCTTTTAAGTAACCCATGGCAGATTACATTCATATGAAATTCTAGAATAAAGAAAACTAGACTGTGTTGGGAAAAAAATATCTGAAGAATGGTTGCCTCTGGAGGGTTGGGAGCAGGGACTAAGTAAGGTCATGAGATAATTTTCTGAGGGGACAGAAACTACAATAATGGTCTATATGTTGAATGGGATTGGGTTACGCAGGTGTATGCATTTTTCAAAACTCAGGGAATCTACACTTAAGATTTGTGCATGTCATTGTATGTGTTTTACATTATAAAAAACCCATAAACAAATATTGAACTTGAGTTAACATTAGGTATGCTTATGAATTCAGGGCAAAATGCAATTTGAGATCCATATTTTAAAAATAAGGTAGATTACTGAATGAATAGAAAGAATAGTAGGTTGGACACGTGAAAAAGGAAATATAGCAAAATGTCAAGGGTAGGATATAGGTGGTGAGTGTGTGGGTGTTTGCTTTTATATTTGAAAGTTTTCATAATAAAACATGGTGGAAGAAGAGACCCCATATAAAGCTGTCACTATTTATTATCCTTTTCACTCCCCAAAATTCATTTTACTTGCTTCTTCTCCCACTGTTAGATATTTCCACTTGATTGTTGAATTAATCTTCAGCCCCCACAGGTCATTCTTCCTTTCCTTGTTTTTAATAAGAGTGGCATCAACTCTTCTCATTGTGGGCATTTCTTAGGATAAAAATCATGTTTCGTTCCCTCTTTTCTCTCATACCCTCTAATCCAGGTGAGCTGTAAATTCTAATTTTCACTTTATTGTATCTCATGTCTTTTCCCATTAGCTCCACCTTAATTCTGCACCAATTACCTGCCATTTCCATGGAGAAATAGACTGGTATAGCTAAGAAAATAATTTGCATGTAATTTGATGCTCTATTTTTATATACATGCTATAAAATGATTCTGATAGAATACTGTATTAGAATTTACTTGGTATTGTAAGTCTTAAAACTCCCACATTCCAGCCCCACTTCCTTTAGTTTATATTTAAATGATTTGAGTCCAGTTGGGGATGATTTACACATACATGCCCCTATCACAGAAATCAGAAAAGTAAGAATTCTATATTGTTTAGCTTCTGTAGACAACTGGTCCTGCTAAATAAACTATGCTAAAGTTGGTAGATATCTGACACCAATTGTATCATGTTATTCTGCAGGTCCACTTTGCAAAATATTTATCTTGGAAAATACCATTAGATGCCCCATGGGTACTTCATGAATTCTCCCCCCCACCCCGATGGCTATACTAGCAGGCCATTGGCAACATCAACCTTAAATTTTTCCCATTTTAAAATAATTGCAGTGAAGATGCAGCAATTTGGAGCCTCACTTATCTGTGTATCTATATATTGAAATGGAACAGAGTTTTATTAGGAACACCTTGGCACTGTCAAAAGCATTCCCTGCCCTGCAACAGGAAAATGTGGTAGCCATATTTTGAGAGGCTTTATTGGTTTGCTTGTTTACTTATTTTGGGAGAGAAACAGAGAAAGCATGAGGGGGGAGGAGCAAAGAGAGAGGAAGAGAGAGAATCCCAAGCTGGCTCTACTTGAGCTCGAATTCATGAACCCTGAGATCATGACCTATGCCGAAATCAAGAGTTGGACACTTAACTGACTGAGCCACCCAGGCGCCCAGAGAGGCTTCACTGTTAAAAGAATATGTTGCAGGGCACCTGGGTGGCTCAGTCAGCTAAGTGTCCAACTCCTGATTTTGGCTCAGGTCATGATCTCATGGTTTGTGGCTTGGAGCCCTAAGTCGAGCTCTGGGCTGACAGTGGGGGCCGGGGGAACCTGTCTGGAATTCTCTCTCCCTCTCTGCTCCTCCTCCACTTTTCTCTCCTGTCTCAAAAATAAATACATAAACATTAAAAAAAAAAAAAAGAGTACGTTAGTACTGTTCATTTGATTAGCAGAGCAGAGGCCTTTTGAAGACCTTCAGTTCTTTGAACGCGGTGTTAGCCAATTCTCTTATCAAAAAAAGCTCATGGAAATTGCCTTAAAAATATGCAGGCCATTGGTTCTTCCTGATATTTTAAACTTCATCCTCAGGGAAGCCCAATCATCAGGGAGCTATAAAACTGGTCTCTAGTATAAGTTTTCAGCAAATTGCTATTTGGGCATGTGCCATTAGTTTACCCTGTATTGATGTATTGATAGTATCTACAGTTGACCCTTGCACAATGTAGGGCATGGGGCACTGACCCCATGTATAACTTTTGCCTCCCTCAAAACTTAACTACTACTTATAGCCTCACTGATAACATAAGCAGTTAACATGTATTTTTTTGTTATATGTATTATATACTGTATTCTTAACAATGAAGTAAGCTAGACAAAATTTTATTAAGAATATAAGGAAAATACATTGTACAGTACAGTATTGTACTTAAAAAAATTCACGTTAAGTGGATCCATGAAGTTCAAACCTATGTTGTGCAAGGGTCAACTGTATAAGAAAATGACTTAAATTCATAATTATATGCATTTACTTACAGCTACAAATTATCAAGCGCTTAGTCTATCAAGGCATCATGCGTCATTTAATCTTTCCAAACATCCCCTGGAGTGAATATTATCTCTATTTTACAAGTCAGGATACCGAAGCTCAGACAGGTCACACAGCTTGTAAATAGCAACAATAGGGTTCAAACTCAAGTTTATTTGATTTTTAAATCGGGTGGCCTTATCTGTTAGGTAACCTACTGGAAAATTCCCCACCTAGGTCACACTATTTACCTTTAAGCATCTGGATAAGTAATTTGAGAAGCATTTTTATTTTTTATTCCTGGTTTTATTCTTTTTCATTACTTTCATTGTCATACTGACTACCTCCACTATTTTATACCATTGTGATAATGTTTTTAATAAACTGTCTAACCTCCTTTTGGATTTACATCCCACTGAGGTGTAAAGAAAAAGAAATGAAAAAAATAACCTACTGAGATCCTTCAATAATTACTTTTATTTAATGTTGGCTGGGATTTTCTCATGTTATTTGCCTTTATGAAATTTTCAGGTTTATGTTCTAGTGTACACACTGCTTGAGTTATGAAATAACTGAGGAAAACCTACTTTAAACTGTCCTCTGGCGCTTCTAAACACAATGAACAAATTTTACCCTAGGCTTGCCAGTCAGTACCTATTTGGCCTCGGTATAGATAATCAGATATTTGTGCCTCAGTATAGATAATCAGATGTTTGTGGAAAGAGAGGGAGATTAAAGTAGTTAGTGAATGAAAGTTATGGTTAAAATCCCATTAGCTTGTTCCCTTCCCTTGACTGGAACAGGGTATGACACAGTTTGCAGGGTCCCTGAGCTATACCTATCAGTGCCTGTAACCAGCTCTCTTCACTTTCAGTCTAAAATCCTAAAGGTATTTCTTATCTACATTAGAAGGTATGGGTGATTTGCTAATGGAGTCACCATTTTTTTTTAAATGTTTATTTATTTTTGAGAGTGAGAGGCGGAGTGTGAGCAGGGGAGGGGCAGAGAGAGAGGGAGACACAGAACGTGAAGCAGGCTCCAGGCTCTGAGCTGTCAGCACAGAGCCCGACCCGGGACTCAAACTCCCGAACAGAGAGATCATGATCTGAGCCAAAGTCAGATGCTTAACCAACCGAGCCACCCAGGCGCCCTGGGAGTCACCTTTTTATTTTTTCTTGTCATTTTTAGAAGCTCCTCTTCTGTAGCTTGTTCTTTTCTAGCTGGCTCAAGGTCCTCTGCATTCCTGATGACCTGGTAGCAAGTGGCCAAAGAGAACATTCTGCCTCCCTGGTTTCAAGTGATTTTCTTGGGAGTGCTGACTTTCCCACTTGCTCCCTGGGCTCTTGGTGGCGTTGGGGCGCCAGGTTTTGTGATCTCATCACATTTTTTCACTCTAGCACTGCTTTTGTTGTTGAATCTAACTGGTCTTTGTTTTGCTGTGTCTGATCAGGGAACTCATCTTACACTTGTAGCCACCTTTGCCTTTCAGAATTGCTCTGCTGCTAACAATTTCAGGGTTTAATTAGCTGGGATACAGAAACCATTTCCCACTTAAATTCCCAGACAGTGACTTGGTAAAATGAGATCTCCTAGATTTAGGGTAAAGATGGAGGGGAAAGAAAAACAAATTAGGTATTATTTCATGCTAGTTGGGTATAATTATGTGAGAACACTCAATGTTTCACTTCCCTATTTCCAGATTCAATCATTAGTGCAGCTCAAGCAGAGATACATGACTAAGAGAGATAGGAATAGGAGAAACTGTATAAATATTCTTTGAAAAAAGTTATTTCAGATTATACACACAGTGAAAAAAGACTGGGGCAAAGATTTATCATCGCTTGCTTTTTACATCATATTAGCTCCTTCAACTAAGATGGTTTTCCCTCTTATAAAATAATGCAGTTCTCTCTCGTGGACTTCTTCCTCTTTCAGGGATTTAGAGTCAAAATTTATAAGAAAACTAGTGGGCCTGGCTTTTACATAAAAAAAAACTGAAGGCTTTTACATAAAGTTTGTCCAATTGAGTATTTGGGAGTGGAAGGATCCTGGGGGGAAAGAAAACTACTAATGACAAGGTAACAGGCAGGTTAACTTCCTAGCACGGCAGCCTCCAGTGACTCTGCAGAAGGTTCTGCCACTTACATTTTCCCCTCATACACTTCATATTTAGAAAAGATTTCTTCTTTACTAAACAAAGTGAATTTACTAAATAATAATTCAGCTTCTGACTTATATATATATTAACTTACAAATGCCAAATTAGAAGACCTGATCAGCATGAGAGGACAGTGGTGTTCTGGCAAAGACAAATCCAATGGTGAAACTTTATACCGGGCAAATCTATGATTTTCATAACTATTTTCCCAATTTTTGAATATAGAGTCTCATTAATGTCTCTTTGGGGTCAAGGGACTCAAGTAGAGAGCACTTGTAAAGAAAGCCAAGAGGGCCAGGAAACCATAACGAACAGAGAATCCGGGGTAAAGGAGGAGGCTGTGGGCCTCCTCTCTTTGGCCTCCTCCCCAGTTATCCACAAGGTTTTCATAATGGATATTTCTTGTGTATCTTGAAAGTTTCTCACTGAAAAGGTTGCTCCACAACCTACTAAGTTTCAAGTCCAAGAAGGTCTCTCAAGGTTACAACAGGTGTTTCTGTGACACCAATGAGTTCATCTGTGATTGGTAAATAGGAAAATGAAGTCAGTTTAACGTGGAGTTGTTCTGGCTCCCCGGCATGGGGTTATGGGAGTGCAGAAGTAAAATTTTCACCTTTAGCAAAAAAGGAGAAAGTTCTCAGTCACTGCAGTTCTATTTTTAGAGAAATAAAGGCTGTGTGCACCTGTGACCTTCCCCGGAGAGGCAGCCTTGCATGCCCCAGTCTTGCATGACTCTGGGCCCCAGCAGGTTGCACTTCCTCCAGTGCTCAGAGCTCCTCTTCCACCTCCTTTGCTCAGCACACAGAAGCAAATATTCCCATTTTACTGTTTTTGTGTATTTTAATATCCCCTGAGACAGCCTCCACCACATGTTCCACTGCCTGTCCGCCTGGCTGTTCAGGCTGTCTCTGGAGGTACAAATTATAGTTTTTATCAGCACTTTGGCTACATAGATGTACAAGTTTTGAGAGGGTTACTTACCCCTGAGCTTACTTTTACTCTAAGCTCTGTTCTTATTAATGAATATTTTTGCAGAATGCATCATTTTTCAGGAACATGTATCTTGTGTTAATGCAGAATTCTGTATTTTACACTTAGTGGATACTTAATAAATGCTGACAGATGACTTATAATTAATTAACTATATTACAAGAATTTTAAGAAGTGAGTCCAAGAATGGTTGTGTTGACAATGAACCAAATTACAGGAATTTAGCAAGATCATCCAACTTCTCTAGAATATGAAATCTTCAAGTTATTTTAATTTCCATGCTGTATGGATCACTACTGTTTTAGAGAAACAGAAGCTAACTTTTCATTTTCAAAGACTGATGAGCAATCATCCATTAGCTCTTGAAGCTGAATAACAGGAAACTGTACTTGTTTTTCAAACCACTTGGCAACCGTAAGAAGCTGCTGGTCACAAAATGCACGTCCAATAAACTGTAGTCCTACTGGCAACCCTTGGTTTGAGAGGGCCACAGGGACACTCACCGCCGGCAATCCTGAAGAAAACAAGGAAACCCATGAGTTATTTCTTTATCGTAAGAAGTGGAGACTTCTGCTTCCCAGTGCTAGGAGGTACAAGACAGATAAGGTTAAAAAAATAACAAAAATCATATGATATATGTGCTTTTATACTTTCTTTTGCTCACTTAACAATATATCTTAAAGGCGTGCCTGGGTGGCTCAGTTGGTTAATCATCTGACTTCAGCTTGGATTATGATCAGGTTCGTGAGTTTCAGCCCCTCATCAGGCTTTCTGCTGTCAGTGCAGAGCTGGCTTTGGATCCTCTGTCTCCCTCTCTCTCTGCCCCTCCCCTGCTCACGCACATGTGCTGTCTCTCTCCCTCTCTCTCAAAAATACACATTAAAAAAATAATATATATATGTATATATATGTGTGTATATATATAACTATACAAAACATACTTATATATAGTATATATAATACATATGTAATATACTATATATAAGTAATATTTTATGTATATAAGTAATATATTATGTATATCTTTGAAATCACAGTGTATCAGTGCAGAGATTTTCTTCGTTCCTTTTTATAGCTGCATAGCACTTATATATAGTATATATAATATATATAATATGCTATATATAAGTAATATGTATATAAGTAATATATTATGTATATCGTGGAAATCACAGTATATCAGCTCACAGAGATTTTCTTCATTCCTTTTTATAGCTGCAAAGCACTCCATTACGTGGTTTGTGCCATAATTTATTCACCTATTCTTCAATGGTTGGGCATCTGGGTTGTCTTCAGTATTCAGCTATTTCATACCATGACCTGGTGAATTACCTTGTACATGTTTTTTGGTATTCTTGAAAGTTTTTCAGATGAATAGGGATTGCTTCATCAAGTGATAAATGTGTATGTAATCAGACATTGCCAAATTCCCTTCCAAAAAGGTTATATTATTTTGAACTCCCACTGGCAAAGTGTTTTTTTCCCCGACAGCCTTACCAATTGAGTACGTTGTTGAACTTTTGAATTTTGGCCAATTTGTTAGATGAGAAATGGTAGCTCAGGGTACTTTTAATTCCAGGTTTGGGGCAGAAAAGTACAAGATCCTGAGATATCTTGTTATGCCATAAAATAAGGAAGCTTTAAGAAATTAATGGGGATAGGTCTGAAGGATATGTGCAACTTGAAAGGGCTCTTGTTGGCCAAATTTGGGACAATTTGAACATCAAAACCAGTAATGACAGTAACTACTTACAACACATTGAGTTGAAAAAAAAGGGAAAGCTATTCTTTAGAGAAGACTGCTGGCTAATAAGATGTAGAAAGAATAACAGAAAAGTCAGTATTTTGTAAAGCTCTAAGAAATAATTCAGGCAAGGATCATCAATAGATCTAAAACAGGTTTCAACATTCTTGGGGCACCCAGGTGGCTCAGTTGGTTAAGTGCTGACTCTTGATTTTGGCTCAGGTCATGATCTTGTGGTTCGTGAGACAGAGCCCCGCACGGGGCTCTGTACAAGAGTCTGCTTGAGACTCTGACACTCTCTCTCTCTCTCAGTCTCTCTCTGCCCTTCCCCCACTCATGCTTGCTCATTCTCTCAAAATAAATAAACTTAAAAAAAAAATTGTTAGGGAATAGGATGTTCACATAATCTCCCCAATTGTATCAGCTCCCCAAATGGTTATAATTGATAAAAGGAAAAAATATACCTTTACAAGGAAAACATTTGGCAATTTCCTTTTTAACCAAGGGATCAACTTAAAGTCTCTAAAAGTGGAACAAACTGATATTAACTGTTTCCTGACATGAACAGTATACAGTATTTCTGCTAAAAATGTCTGGCTCAACCCAGTCATGAGGAAGCAAGCTGACAAATCCAGATTATGGATGGGACATCCTATATGGCAAGTGTGCTAGACTCTTCAAAAAGTCAGTGTCAATTAAAACAAAAATTTTAAAAGGTGGGGGATTTCTTACCAGAAACTGTGCAGGCCAGAAGAAAGTAGCATAACATTTTTTAAGTAGCTAAGGAAAAGCAATGTAACCCCAAATCCTATATCCAGTGAACATAACCTTTAAATATGAAATGAAACCAAGATATTCTTAGAAAATTAGTTGCAAGCAGACCTACCCTAGAAGAACAGCTAAAAGAATTTAAACAGAAAGGATATGATAAAATAAAGACTTTATAGCCAGGGAGAAATGAACATAGTAGACAAAAGTATGGGGAAATATAACACACTTTCCTTCTTGAGTTTTTTACACTATGTTTGATGATTGAAACAAAACTTATAGTCTGATGTAGTCCTTAAAGAAAAAAAACACCACCAAAAACAGAGAGAACTGGGGTACTGTTCTAGATTTTAAAAAGACCATGATCAAATGTAATATAACAGGGGAAAAAAACATTTTATAAAGATAATTTTTGTACAGTTGAGAAAATTTAAACATGGACTGTTTGGGATATTATTATATTCATGTTAGTTTTCCTAGGTGTGATAACGTAATTGTGGTTATGCGGGAGAATGTCTTTATTTTAGAAGATTTATGCTAAAGTATTTAGGGGTGAAGTATGATGTTGAAGCTTTCTTTCAAGTTATTCAGCTAAAAAGGGTGTGTGTGTGTGTATAGGAAGAGGGGAAGGAGAAAGCAAATGAGGCAAAACGAATGAATCCAGGCAAAGGGCATATGGGTACTCATTATACCATTCTTCTGACTTTTCTGTAGGTTTGAAAATTTCCAAAGTAAAAGTTAAAATTATGCTATTTAACTGGGTTGATTTTGAACATGTGCGTGCATGGTGAGTGCGAGTGCATGCATGCCTAAGCACGTACCCGTACCACACATGTACACACATACACGCGATCCTAAACATTCCAGAAGGACAAGCCGCTGCCTTCAGGGAATGATCTAGTTAGAACCTAGGTTGAAGACCAGACACCCGTCTAAAAACTTGAAGAACACCAGAACACTCCAGAGGGGTCCTCACCTGCCATATTCACAGCCTGTGTAAAAATATCATCCTGAGCACTTCTCGTCCTGTTGTCCTCTTTAATGAACTCCAGGTAGGGCACCGCCTCACTCAGGGTGGTGGGGGTCAGCAACACATCCACGCCAGAGTTAAAAACATTCACAAAATCATTAGCAATGAGCCGTCTCACTTTCTGTGCTTTGGTGAAATAATTTGCATAGTTTCTGTGGAAAAGAATAGATGATATTTTAAGGATACTTTTTTGTTATTTCTTTGAATCAATTTTCATATATAAAGCTCGTTAAAATATGACTGGATTCTTGACCTTTATCAGCAGGCACTGTTAAGATTCCTAACAACACACAGAAATGGTTTTTGTCCAACTGGTGTTGGTATTCTAAAAATCTGTGTATCGGGAGTTTAATTAGAATGCACGGCTAGATGCAATGCTACACATCTAATTAGAAAACATTAACACTTCCATGGACATCATTAAACGAGAACTCAGGTGAAATAAAAAAATCAAGTGCATAGCAATTTAATGACTTTCCAAAGATGACGTGGATTGGTGGTGGTAAAGACTAGAACTTAGGTCTTTGGAGGCTTATTTTAATTTTCTCTCCTTTACAATATCTTATTTCACCTGTAGTATAATGGTAACTCATTACTGTAAGAATTCTGAAGTTTTGCAAAATTCTAATAATGACATCATAATTAGTCACAAGGAGATGGGCTCTGGAAACAGAAACTGGGTGTTTGCAATTTTGTATTTTATGGATAGGCACAACCCCCCCAGAATGGGAATCTGAAATTTGTGAAAAGATGCTTACTCTACTGAAAAGATTAAGAAGTAGCCAGCTATAAAAGCGACTATAAGTCAATAATGCAAAGAAAGGGAAAAATAAAGCACTCATAGATCCTCCTGAAATGAATTAAGAAAGGCTGGCAAAAGGACCACTTTTAAACTTCAGTTTCCTCACATGTAAAAATGGATACAACTACTCCAGACTGACTGAGGACCAAATACAATAAAGATAAAAATGTGCTCTAAGAATCCTATAGGGGCACCTGGATGGCTCAGTCAGTTGAGCATCTGACTTTGGCTCAGGTCATGATCTCCGCATCGGGCTTGAGCCCCACATTGGGCACTGTGCGTTTGAGCCCTGCATTGGGTTCTGTGCTGACAGCTCAGAGCCTGGAGCCTACTTTGGATTCTGTCTCTCTCTCTCTCTCTGCGCCTCCCCTGCTTGCAATCTGTCTCTCAAAAATAAATAAAAATGTTAAAAAAAAAAAAGAATCCTATAAAATATCAAATGTCCTTATTATCATTTGACCACAGGGTCTATAGGGAGATTAATGCAAGTATCCACAGCATTTATACAATAACAATACTTGATGGCTTAAATAATGTCATTAACAGAATTCCCCAAACCTCAATTTTATTAGAAAAAATCTTTGTTTTCGGAGCACCTGGGTGGCTCAGTCAGTTAAGCGTCCAACTTCAGCTCAGGTCATGATCTCACGGTTCGTGGGTTCGAGCCCCACGTTGGGCTCTGTGGTAACTGCCAGCTAAGAGCCTGGAGCCTGTTTCAGATTCTGTGTCTCCCTCTCTCTCTGACCCTCCCCTGCTCACGCTGTCTCTCTCTCTCTCTCTCAGAAATAAATAAAACATTAAAAAAAATTATAAAAAAATTTTTGTTTTCTACTGAATGTTTTCCTACTTTAAATATGGTTCAAAAGCAGGACTTCTGCTTCCATTAATGACAAAGTAACAGGGATGCAATTTACCCTGCCATAGTAAACAATTAGAAAACTAGGCAAAATAAAGCAACCATTTTCAGATACTATACAACAGGCATTCAAGAGAGGGAGTTCTGAGAGAAGGGAGAATTTCCCCAATGTAATGCCTGGAGGCAGTTTCCAGGCTTCAGTCCAAACAGAAGGAACCTATGCAGAGTTTTCAGGCGGCAGTTGTCAGAAAGTTAAAGAGACCAAGACTGGAAGTCCAGGGAGGCAAAGACTAGTGGGATGTGCAGGGCTGAGTACTGGGTAGGAGAAAGCAGCACACAGGGAGGGCTCAAGAGATCTGCAGAGGGAGCCCTCAAGTCTTTGGCTGAGTACTGGTCTGTGCTTGTAGGAGAAAAAATTCTCAAGCCGGGGAGGGGGTCATGGAAAAGTCAAACAATTTCAAGAGCTAGAAATAGTGGAAACACTTTGTAATACATGAGAGTTCTGGCAGAAGCTTCAAGGGTATTGCCTAAAGTCGAGGTAAATTAACCCAAGCTAAATGCCATTTTGGACTTCTCCTAGCAAAGCATTTTTATTTTTAAAAAAAAATTTTTTTTTTAATGTTTTATTTATTTCTAGGAGAGAGAGAGAGACAGCGTGAGCAGGGGAGGGTCAGAGAGAGAGGGAGTCACAGACTGAAACAGGCTCCAGGCTCTGAGCTGGCAGTCAGCACAGAGCCCGACGTGGGGCTCGAACCCACGAACCGCGAGATCATGACCCAAGCGAAAGTCGGACGCTTAACCAACTAAGCCACCCAGGCGCCCCGCAAAGCATTTTTAAAAGGAAGCCTTGAAAGTATCCAATAGATTCAAAGTGACTTAACTGCATCCCAGAATAAAGCCCAACACTGTTTAAAGGAATACAACAAAAATCTAGCAAAGGACAAGGTAAAAGTCACAATGCTCAGCCATACTAAAAAGCAGAAAATAAGACCCATAACTAGGGGGTAAAAAGCAATTAATACATTCAGAAATGACAGAAATGTTGGAATTAGCAGATAAGAACATTAAAACAACTATTGTAAATATGTTCCATATATTCAAGAAGGTAGAAGAAAACACGAAATGATGAAGGAATTGAAGAGCTAAGAAAACCTACTTGGAAGTTCTAGGAATGAAAAATATAAAATATAAAATAAAAACAACACTGGATGGGACTGACAGCAGACGATCAGTGATTCTGAATAGAAGCTGTAAAAAAAGAAGCACGCTGGGGTGCATGAGTGGCTCAGCTGGTTAAGTGTCAGACTTTGGTTCAAGTCATAATCTCAAGGTTCGTGAGTTCAAGCCCTGTGGTAGGCTCTCTGCTGTCAGTGCAGAGCCAGCTTCAGATCCTCCGTTTCCCCCACATCCCCTCTGTCTTTCCAGTACATGCTCTCTCTCTCAAAAACAAACATTTTTTGAAAAGAAAAAAAACAAAAAGCACAGAGAAACACTAAAAAAGAGAAAAAACTAGGATGGAGCCATTAGTGCTCTTGGATGACGTTAAGCAGCTTAACATACATATAAATGGAGTCCCAGAAGAGGGGGAAGGTCAGAAAAAATATTTTAAGAAATAATGGCCAAAATTTTTCCAAATTTGATTAGAACTATAAACCCACAGATCCAAGAAGCTGAACAAACCCCTAAACAAGACGAAATATGCAGAAAACCACACCAAGGAATTTCAGTCAAATTCCTGAAAACCAATGATAAAATCACCCAGAGGTGGAGGAAAAAGACAGGTTATACACAAAGGAATAAAGATAAGAATGACTACAGAGTTCTCAGAAACTATGCAAGTCAAGGGAAAACAGAACGAGATCTTTTAGGTACTGAAAGAAAAACTTGAATTTTTATCTAGAATTTTATACCTAGAGAAAATATCTATCAAAATTAAAGTTAAAATAAAGACTTTTACATATAAACAAAAGCTGAAAGAACTCTTTGCTAGCAGGATTGTACTATAAGAAATATTAAAGTTCTTTAGGCAGAGAGAAAATTACATCAGACAGATATCTGGATCCACACAAAGGAATAAAAATCAGAAATAATAAATATTTTGGCAAATATCAATGCCTCTTTTTTTCTTGTTTTAAATCTCTTTAAGAGAAAAGTTATTATTTAAAGAAAAATAGGGGCGCCTGGGTGGCTTAGTTGGTTAAGCATCTGACTTTTGCTTAGGTTATGATCTCGGGGTTCGTGGGTTCGAGCCCCGCGTCAGGCTCTGTGCTGACTGCCAGCTCAGAGCCTAGAGCCTATTTCAGAGTCTGTCACTCCGTCTCTCTCTGACCCTCCCATGCTCATGCTGTCTCTCTCTCTCTCTCTCTCCTAGAAATAAATAAAAAAATATTAAAAAAAATAAAGAAAAATAAAAGAAGGCAGGAAAAGAGGTTAAAAGAAAGAACAGATAGGTCAAATTGAAGACAAATAGTAAAAAAAAAAAAAAAAGCAGATTTAAATGTGGTTCAAACGTAAATAATTATGTTCATTAAAAATAAACTGTGGATTCCTAATTCAATAAATTTGTGGTTTTTGAACAGAAGGTAGTAGAAGAATGACAAAATTGTAAAATGAGGTACCACATGAAGGAAAAAAAAACAATGTTAGGGATTGCTATAGTTCCTGGCACACAAATTGACTTTTAAAGATTAAAATAAGTACACCCAAATTCCATTTTTCCTATCACTCATGTCCATCTTTCCCTCACAAAACAAATAAACAAGCAAACAAAACCCTTTAGAACAAAAAAGTTGACTTAAATTCCCGGACTCAAAAGATAGGGATACCAGAAGAAAGTCTCACTTCCTTCTGTCAATACTCCCAACTGGTGACCATGGAAGAAGGTTTCAGAATCTTCTCCTTCAGTTTCTTTTTATGGTGTTACACTGATTTATATAGTCTATCAACTCGTGCCCTGAGATATACAATTTGATTCTAATCAGTTATATGTGCCAAATGTAACATAAAAGGCTTTGCTTAGAAAACTTGTTAGCAACATTTCATTTTCTTTTCCTACTCCCAAATCATTACAATCATCTGGTCAATATGGAAAAGAGTCTTTTATTTTTTTATTTCTAAAGTTTTTATTTAATTCCAGTTAATTACCATACAGTATTATATTAATTTCAGGTGTACAATATTACTATATTCAACACTTACATCCATCACCCAATACTCATCATGACAAGTGCACTCTTTAATCCCCATCACCTATTTTATCCATTACCCCACCTAAGTCCCCTCTGGTAACCATCAGTTTGTTTTCTATAATTAAGAGTCTGTTTCTTGATTTGTCTATCTCTTCCCTCACCCTGGCTCATTCGTTTCTTAAATCTCACATAAGAGTGATTTCACATAGCATTATACTCTCTAGCTCCATCCAAGATTTCATTCTTTTTTATGGCTGAATAATATTCTGGTGTGTGTGTGTATCATATCTTCTTTATCCATTCATCAATCGATGGACACATGAGCTGCTTCCATATCTTGGCTATTATAAATAACACTGCTATAAACATAGGGGGGATGTGTATCCTTTTGAATTAGTGTTTCAGTATTCTTTGGGCAAATACCTAGTAGTACAATTGCTGGATCATAGGGTAGTTCTATTTTTAATTTTTTGAGGAACATTCATACTGTTTTCCAGAGTGGCTGTACCAGTTTGCATTCCTAGCAATGGTGTAAGAGGGTTCCTTTTCTCTACATCCTCACCAACACCTGTTGTCTCTTGTATTTTAGCCCTTCTGACAAGTGTGAGATAATGTCATATTGTAGTTTTGATTTGCAGAAAGTCTTTTAATTTGGAACATAAGCAAACATCTTTAGTTTTTTTGTTTGTTTTTCAGCTTTATTGAGATATAGTTGACATATAAAATTGTATAATTTTAAGGTGTACAATATGATAGTTGGATATATGCAGATATTGTGAATAAGGTTAGTTAACACATCTATCACCTTATATAATTACAATTTGTGTGTGTATGTATGTGTTAATAACATTTAAGATCTACTCTCTAGCAATTTTCAAGTATAAAATACAGTACTGTTAGCTGTAGTAATTATGCTGTGTATTATATCCCCAGGACTTATTCGTCTTATTCACGCAAGTTGGTACCCTTGACCAAAATCTCCCCATTTCCCCTAGGCCCAAACCCAGGCAACCACCATTCTACTTTCTGTTTCTTGGAGTTTGGCTTTTTTTTAGATTCTACATATAAGTGAGATCATGTAGTATTGGTCTTTCCCTGACTTGTTTCACTTAGGATAATGATTTCACCATCTACCATGTTGTCACAAATGGCAAGTTTTTCCTTCCTTTTAACAGCTAATAATATTCCACTGGATATAAACACACCACATATTTTAATCCATTCTTCTGACAATAAACAGTTAGGTTAGTTCCATGTCTTTAACTATGGTGAATAATGCTCTGAGGTAGTGATTTCATTTCCTTTGGATTTACACTCAGAAGTAGGATTGCTGCATCATCTGGTAGTTCTATTTTTTAAATTTTTTTGAGAAACTTCCATACTGTGGTTCATCATGGCTGCTCAAAGAATATTCCTGGAAAAAGTAATCCTAAGCATCGGCCCTGAAGGGATACATAGAGAACAAAATGCTTTCTGTCCTTAAGGTCATGTAGAAAAACTCCAGTAGTATTTATTACAACAATCATTCTTGCTCTTTCACAAGAAAAAGTGTCCTCTTAGACAGACTTGGTGGTATGCAAGATGAATCCTATTTATGAGATGATGAATAAACTTATATTGAAGATAATCTCAGTAGGAGTCCTAGTAATTTAGAATTCTTTCTTAGAGCAAAGAGATACATACTGTAAGGGAAAACTAAGTTGATTTACTCAATTTTTCAAGACACACCAATGTAACTTCCTGCTTAAATCTCTAACAACAATTAGCCAACGTGGCAACAATAGTCAGGGGACATTTAATTAAACTAAAATTCTAGAGGGCTTCCTACTTAGTTTTGTACTAAACATTCAGCTAGAGTGTCAATGTTGTTTTGTGTTTGAATAACCAGGAACTAAAAGTACTATAATCAGACCTTTAATTGTGATTTCTAATTCAAAGCATAAGGATTTTGCTTCTTTGGCACATATCTCAACTTATAAGACCTGACAGACATATTACTAATTTACTCTTGAGTTTTCAAGAATGGAGAAAATTCCTAAACTACTTACTTACTCTTTTAATAAGAAAAAGTTTCCCGCGAGAATTCTTCCTCTCACCACATCATTAAACCCTTCTCGCCTGGTTGCAGCATACATGGCTTCAGTAGACACATCAATGTCACACCTGTGACCTGAAAACGAAAAAGAGGTATACATTATTTGAGGAGGAAGTAGAGTTCTGGCTGAAGAGCAAGCATAGATTCACATTTGTGAGCAATATTAAATTTTTGGAAGACTGTCCTTAGTGGCTCCTCTTCTTTATCTGCCTTGTGACTGACCAGTTAGGGATGAAGGAGAGAGGAGAAAATAACAAACAGGGAAACTGCATTTGTTCACCTCCTCTTCCTGTCTTCCTTCCTCTCTCCCTCCCTTCCTTTCCTTCCTTCTTCCCTCCCTCCCTCCCTCCATCCATCCAAAATGTGCTGAACTCCTACCATATGCCAGGCACTACATTTGCAGACTAAGAAAACAAAGATAAGATACTGTTCCTTTAAAATATTTACACTTCAAAGAGGGAAGCCAAACATATGGAGATATGTATAATGAACACTATAAGCAGAAGGTTAAATGACAAAGGCAAGAAGATTCACTGTCTAAATCATTAACATTATCACTTGTCTAAATCATTAACGTTATCTCTGGGAATAAGTTTTTTTATCAGTATAAGTAAAACTTTCAAGTATTTGAGACAACTATTTTAAAAATCCCAAACACACTGTCTTACCATATTCTAGCCCGTCAAATCTTGCCATATTAGATGCCACTTCCGATGTACACAGTACATGGTAGCAGACAATTGAATAACTGGTGTGGGGCAGGGACACTTCAATTACTTTGGCCCCATTAGACTCAAAGAGGTTAGCAGCTTTGGACCAAAAAGATCGTACTTCACTTGATAATTCTGGTACGAGATATTCCTTATTGGAAAAAGTCAAGATACAGAAATTAGAACATTTGTATAGATGGTTTTATAAAAATATGTTCTTCAGGACCTTTGGCAACACATTAGGAAATCTGACTAAATTCCTAATAGGTAGCTAGAAAGATTGAACTAATTTTAGGAGTGTTTATGGCATGACAAGCACCATACTAGTTATTTATTAGCTGGATAGAACAGTATTAAAGATTGGAGAACTGGTTGGAGAAGCTATATTTGCTCAGTGTTCATTATCAGATACTCTGCTAGAGGCTTTTCAAAGGTTCTCTCATTTGGGGCACCTGGGTGGCCCAGTCAGTTAAGCATCTGACTTCTGCTCAGGTCATGATCTCATGGTTCGTGAGTTTGAGTCCCACGTCAGCCTCTGGGTTGACAGCAAGGGGCCTGCTTGGGATTTTTCTCTCCCTCTCTCTCTGTCCCTCCCCTGCTTGTGCTCTTTCTCTGTCAAAATAAATAAACATTAATAAAAAATAAATGGAAAAGTTCTCCCATTTAATGCTTTTAACAATCCCATGATACTGATTGTTATCATCCTTTATTTTATTAATGAAATATAGTGACTAGATGAGTAATTTTCCTAAAGTTACACAGTGGGTAAGTAGAGGATCTAGGATTCTAAACTAGGTCTGTACTCTTTTCTAAATCTTTAAAAGAAGGCACAGCTATTATCTTAACTGAAAATTTTAAAGAAAGTATTTCTTTCAACTTGGGGGCAATTTTATCCTCTTTCTCTCCATCAGGGGACATTTGGTACTGTCTGCAGACATTTTTGCTTGTAGGGTTATGCTGTGGTGGAGGTGCTACCTTTAAGGGTAAAGGCCAACAATGCTACTAACCATCTTACAATGCATAGGACAGTATCCCACAACAAAAAATTATCCAAGCAATTATTGGTAAGCTTAAAGTTAAAAAAATTGTTTAAAAGTCAATAATTTAACATATTTACTTTCATATATGAATTACTCAATTGCTACTGTAATAAAATAGTAAAGCCTTAATAAATGTTACCTTCTTTAATACCACTATCAGTATTTTATTTATTAAGATCTTAATATCATAGTAATGACTCTGGGCTATATCCTTTACATTAGGAATTAGCAGACTATGGCCTATGGTCTATGGCTGCTTTCACACTACAGTGGCAGAGTGAAATAGTTACAACACAAACTTCATGGCCCACAAAGGCTCAAATATTTACTAACTGACCCTTTACATAAAAGGTTTGTAGACCCCTGCTTGACATCGTTATTTCAATTTTTTTTGAGGTATAAATGATATTCAACATTATGGGAGTTTCAATATATGATTATTTGTATATACTGAGAAAGGATCACCACAATAAGTCTAAGTTAACATTTGTCACAGTACAGTTACAGATTTTCTTCCCCTTGTGGTAAGAACTTTAAGATCTATTCTCTTAGTAATTTTTGAATATGTAGTATGGTATTATGTATATTATATCCCAACGATGATTACCACATTTCAATTTTACTACTCTCTGAGATCAAAATATTATCCCCATTTTGTAGATCAGGAAATTGAGCTTAGATTAAGTCACATGCTCAGGTTACATAGCTAATAAAAATGGCATAAGTAGGATTCAACCCCAACCAGTCCGTTTCCCAGGCCTGTGCTCTGTATTTGACTTGAGAGTATTTCTGTGAAGTAATGAACGGGGAGAGTTACCTTTGGAATTCCTATACATAGTTTGCTCACATCTGTCAAGCTGGAAAGCATAAATGGTTTACCAGGATCTTGTATTGTGGTAGAATCTTTGGGGTCATGACCAGCCAGCACACCTGTGAGGAAAAATACTTAGGAATGACAGACACAATGTTTTTACAGTGAAATTTATAAGGTTTTGAAACTCTATGGAATTATATAAATACCCAACACAATTGCTGCATCATCCACACATCTGGTTAAGATTCCTGGCACATCCATGGAATTCACCAGGGGAATGAGACCATGACGAGAAACCAAGCCATAGCTTGGTTTGAAACCAACAATCCCACAGTGGGCAGCTGGATTTCTGGTCGATCCTCCTGTATCTGATCCTAAAGCCCTGGAATTTAATGGAATTTTCTTTAGAAAAATGATGTATCTCTAATTATATCTGGAATCTATTTTTAAGTGTATACTTTTAAACCTTACTTGCTCCTGGTTATACAAAAGTAAGACATGATTGTCTCAGAGAATTCCTAAAGACATAGAAAAAGTATGAAGAAGTAACAAAATATTCTACCACCTGAGGCAAACACTGTTAACATTTTGGCATATTAACTTCAAGACTTTTTAAAAATGCATTTTTCTTTCACAGTTCAGGTCATTCTGCAATTACAAGTTTCCACCTCTTTTTTGCTTATCATGAGACTTTTGCTATGTCATTAAAATTACTGACAAGTTAAAATATGTATAATATTCTATCCTATCAATTGGCGATTCACAGGATTTTAAAGCTCATTCTCCTATCAATATATATACAGATCCTTTACCTTCTTTTCATGCCAGTTATACAGTATGTTTTTACAAACTAAACACACTACTCCCAGAAATTCATATACAGAACCTTATACTACCTCATTTAGAATCATGGGATAGAAATGTACTTTAATTTATTTAAACATTTATGTTGTTGCCAACTATAATAATAACTGCATAATAAATTACTTTGTAATAAACACCTTTAAACATAAATCTTTGCCCATATGTCTGAATATTTTTTAGGCCTCCTTCCAGAAAGTAGAGTTAATGAGCCATAGGGCATGTTACTCTAAGTTCTTAATCTCATCATCAAATGACTTGTCAGAGGGCTTCCGCCAATTTATATTCCCAACTGTAGTGAATGAGATTCAGTCTTATGTTTCTTCATCATCACTGAGTACTAGCAGTTAATTTTGTTAATTTGAAAAACCAGAACGCTTTGTTAATATGCATTTTTGAATAATTTTTCACATTTATTTGTATTTGCAGTACTGGACTATGAAGGGACCATTTCTTTGCCCAGTTACCTACAGAGTATATGTTTTTCTTATGAAAAACAAAACCAAAAACTAATCTTGAGAACATTATGCTAAGTGAAATAGGTCAGTTATGAAAGTGCAAATAGTGAATAATTTCACTTACATGAGGTACCTAGAGTCTTCAAGTTCATAGAGACAGAAAGTAAAAAAGTGATTGCCAGGGGCTGGGAGGACGGGCAAATGGGAAGCTGTTGTTTAATGGGTAGTGAAGTTAGTTCTGCAAATGAAACAAGCTCTGGAGATTGGCTGTACAACAATGTGAATGTATTTAATGCTAAACTGTACATTTAAAAATGGTTAAGATGAGGGATGGGGTGCCTGGATGGCTCAGTTGGTTAAGCAACTGACTCGATCTCAGCTCAGGTCTTGATCTCAGGGTCATGAGTTCAAGTTCTGCATTGGGGTCCACATTGGGTATGGATCCTACTAAAAAAAAAAAGGTTAAGATGGTAAATTTAATTTTTTAATTTATGAAATTTTTTTAATGTTTATTTATTTCCGAGAGGGAGGCAGAGCATGAGTAAGGGAGGGACAGAAAGAGAGGGAGACACAGAATCAGAATCAGAAGATCTAGTTCCTGTCTGAGCTGTCAGCACACAGCCTGATGCAGGGCTCTAACCCACGAACCGTGAGACAATGACCTGAGCTGAAGTCAGACACTTAACTGACTGAGCCACCAGGTACCCCAAGATGGTAAATTTCAGGTTACATATGTTTTACCATAATTAAACATTTTTTTAAACTTTATTTCAGGGGGAAAAAGGTTTCTCTGATTAGAAAACTGTATGTGCTCACTACAAAAATTAAGTATTCTATAAGCATATGGTATATAATGTGAAATTTCTCTTATAATCACTGCCTCCATAATAATCCTGTTATCAATTTTGATACAGTCATCCAGACACTTCCATGCACATAACATATATACATATGTAATTACTTTTAACAGAGAGGTCATACTATACATAGTGTTCTGCAACTTGTTTTGCACTTAGCAGTGTATCTTTGATACCTGACCACGACACTATAGACCACTCTAGCTCATTCTTTTTAGTGGCTGTGTAATACTCCAAGAACCTTCCTGTTTTGAGAACTATTATAAAAGAAGCAAAAAGGAGGAAACATAAAGCAGAACCCTTGACAGTTTGGGACCCATTCCTTCTGGAGTGACTTTGGGTCTGTGCTTCTCTTAACTATACCCAGAACAAAGCTTTGAACTGCACAAGGCCCCTAGGCCCTGGAACTCTACAGAAGACGTAAATGAGATTGTCTTTCTTACCAAGTCCTTATGAGCTACAAAATCAGGCTGTTGCTTTCACAATTTCTAAAAGGACACATTTTCTTATTATGATTCACTGATGGCTGTGTAAAAGTAAAACCTACATTTCCATAGGAATTATGTGTCAAAATGCCATCTTCTCAGAGCACATTCAGAAAGATGAACATTAAGTAGGGTGATGAGGATAGAAAAAAAAGCACCTACTCTTGCAGTCCTAACTTGTCAGAACTCTCATTAATATTAATGCAGTGCTCTAAAATTCCACAGAGATAAAATGAAATGGTTTTACTTGTAAATAAGATTTCAGAGAAACCTAAAAAAAAAAAAAAAAAACACGAAGAATCTAAATCTCCATAGCTCTAAAAAAATATAAATAATTTATTGGTTGCACTGTCTGTGAAAGAACTTAGTTTCAGTGGATAATTAAGGAGAAATAAAATACATATAGTGCTACTAAAGGAACACTTTCAATTTTATACTGAAACTGATAAAATAAATAACAGTGAAATCTATTTACTCTTCTTTGGGCGGTTAAGAAATACTTTACAAATGAGACTTAAAACATAAAGCATGATGGATGGATTCTTCCCGAAATAAACTGTAACAGCTGAACAAGTCAGCTCCTGAGAAACCTGAAAAAAAACTTTACTCAGTGATGCACATTTTTAGTTGCAGATTTATTAAAACACTGTTTTAAATATCCTATTTATATACATTAGGAGCATTTTTTTCTTTTTTCCCTTTTTTTTCTTTTTTTCTTTTTTTTAAATATTTTTATTTATTTCTAGGAGAGAGAGAGACACGGTGTGAGCAGGGGAGGGTCAGAGAGAGAGGGAGTCACAGACTGAAACAGGCTCCAGGCTCTGAGCTGGCAGTCAGCACAGAGCCCGACGCTGGGCTCGAACCCACGAAACGCGAGATCATGACCTAAGCGAAAGTTGGATGCTTAACCGACTAAGCCACCCAGGCGCCCCAGCCCTTTTTTTTCTTTTAACAAAAGCCAGATTCAGCATAATTAACAGCTCAGCACCACTCAGCCAAAGCCATGGTATATTAGTCCCTAAATATTTGTATAATCAGTGAGCAGACACCCAAATAAATTATTTTAAAAGTGAAATTTAATTACACTGACTGGTTTATGCTGCAAGATCCATAAAATCATGTTTTTAAGAGAACCAGATACTATAGAGGAAGAGTTTAAATACCTAAAATTAAAGTTACATGTAGAAAATACACGTTAAGTAGACTCTACAGTTGGATGCATTTATAAGATTACAATGTTGATGTATCATCGAGCATAAATAACTCACTAAAAAGAAATAAAAATAGCACGGTATGAACTACTCTGCTGTTGGATTGTGAGTATGGTTTATGACTGTCTGTGTTTGGATGGGCTCTACAGTATGGACAGAAAAAAGCAGCTTACGCGAAGCACGTGAAGGCTGATACTGCCGCTGCACTCCCGCCAGAACTTCCTCCAGTTATAAGCCAATTCGAATCCTCATTCTCACCACTGGGCTTCTGCTTCCTCTTTTCTCTATACTGTTTTGAATAACTCCAGGGGTTTTTAACTGGTCCGAATACACCATCTGTGCTTCCAGATCTGAGATGAAGTGAAGCAAGATATCTTAATGGAACTTTGATTTTTATATGAAGATTTCACCTCCTGATTGTATTACTTACTTCTAACACTGTATAATCCATTGGAACTTGAATTGGCAAACGCAAGAAGCCTGCTTGGACTTAGCTTTCATTAATTAGATGGTTGAGGAGGTGAACGAGAGGAAGTAAGAGCATGTGGGAGAAAGGAGAGAAAACTAGTCTATTAAGAAAAGAGGATTTTTATCCCAATTGATTATACAATTCAGCTTATGATGATTTCCCTTGTAAATCAAGGTCTTCCAGGTAAAGAGTGTCACAAACATTCAAAGAGTTAAACAAGAAGTCCTCTGAAGGATTCTCGCTATTAACCAAATGTGTTAAGACAAGCATAAGTTGAAAAGAACTCATTTTAAAAGTTTTGAAATAACTTCAATCTTACAGGTAAATTGCAAAAATAGAAATAGTATGAAAATAACTTTATACCCTTTACCCAGATTCACATACTATTTAAAAACCACCCAATTTGATTTGTGTGATTGACATATATTGTGTGTATCTGTAACATGGAGAAATCATTTTTTCCCCCACAAACCACATAAGGGTAAATTATATATGTCATGGCCCTTTACCCCTAAATATTTTAGTATGTGTTCAGTGTGCATTTCCTAACACTAGGAGTGTCCCCTTATGCAGTCACAGTAACCAATCTCAGTAAATTTAACATCCACACAATGCTTTTTATCTAACCTATTGTATGTAAGCCAGTTTGGTCAGATGATCCAGTAATATCCTTCACAGCATTTCCCCCTCCCAGTAAGGGATTGAATCTAAAATCAGGTGTTACATTTAGGGACCATTGTCTCATCAGCCTTTTTTTGTATTTTTAAATCATTCACTAGCCAATGTGCATGGAGTTATTTCTAGTTTTTGACAATTATAAATAAAGCCATAGTAAATATTGTACTGAAAGACTCCAGCCATCACTTTCATGTAAATATTCCTCTTCATCTCGAGTAAAAAATGTAGGGCTGAGATTGTTGGATCCTATGATGTTTAACTTGAAAAGAAACTATTTTCCGAAATGGCTATACCATTTTGCATTTCCTACCAGCATTATATGAGAAACCCAATTGCTCTGCATCCTTGTCAGCACTTGATATTGTCATTTTTATGCCGTTCTAATAGGTGTCTGTATCTCCTTGTTTTAATTTGCATTTCCTTAATGACTAACCATGTTCAGCATTGTTTTCATTTGTTTATTGCCAACTATATATATGCTTTGATGAAATGTCTGCTTACGTATTTTACCCTTTTTTTTAATTGAGTTGTTTTCTGATTTTTGAGTTGGAAAAGGTTCATATATACTGGATATCTGTTCTTTCTCAGATATTATTTTGAAAATACTTTCTCCTACGCTGTGGCTTGTTTTCCATGTGTTAACAGTGTATTTCAAAGTATAGAAGTTCTTAATTTTAGTGAAGTCCAATCTATCAATTTTTTTACTTTATGAATTGTACTTTATGTGTCCCATCTAAGATATTTTTGCCTTGAGAATTCATGGTCACAAAGATTTTTCTCCTGCATTTTCTTCTATAAATTTTAGGCTTTACTTTCCTTAGGCTCTTTTAACCTGGAATATTTTCACAGCCTTTGTTTGTCTTTTTTGATATTCATATTTTAATAGAATGTTTCTCATTTCAGACTTATCTTCTGTTTCCCCGTGATTAGTTTCAGGTTTAACATTCTCAGCTGGAATATTGCACAGGTGATGGTGTGTTCTTCTCAGGGAATCACATCTAGAGGTACATGATGTCATCTTACCCTCACCAACAATGTTCATTTTGATCAGCTGTTCAAGGCAATGTCCTAATAATTGATGTTCGAGTTTACTCCCGTAGATTAATTCATTCAACATATATTTACTGAGTGCCAAGAGACACCACTGTAAATAAGAGAGTCAAAGATTCTGCTTCTATGAAACAGGGCACATAGACCAAGCAAATATTACCAATTTAACAACATATAACAACATATAGTGATGCTTAGTTTTGTTCTTTACAGTTTATTAAGTCGAAAGGAAACAGGTTTACTATAAAGCTACAATATCAAGATAATGTGATATTAAAGTAAATCGAGACAAAAATGAAAGAAATACAAGAAAAGAAAATTTCAATTTTACTTACCCCATTGCAAACTCATCTAAATTAGTTTTTCCCATCAGGACAGCTCCCTGATCCAACAACTTCTGAACTACTGTAGCATTATAAGGTGGTACATAACCTGAAAAAAATTCAGTTATTTTTGTTGTAGGAGAGAAAATCACGAGCATGTAAATCACATGCGAGAAACAAGATTTTAAACTGCATCTAAGCTGTCCATATTGACATGTGTTAATTATTCCTAATTTGAGTTGTAGGTAGTACTTTCTTCCAAAGGTTAATTTTAATTTTTCTACTGATAATTTCTACGTTTTCCAAAGACAGTCAGCATATTTACTATTTTTATCATCTAAGAAGACTGACTTTAACAGTTCATACTACAAATATTGAATGATAGAGACGTACCTAATTCATCTGAAACTAACAGCACATCATTATTTTGCTCATTGTACTTGAAATATATCACATAGTAATTTTTATCTATTTCCCGTCAGACATAGATTTTTTATTCTCATTTAAATTTCATCTAGTGTGATTCCAAAACAACAATAATATCACCATCAGAGGAACCTGTGGCATATTCCCCATAGACTTTTAGGGTGTAGCACTCTGAATAAGCTTTTTCTATTTCTTTCCTTCTAGGATCCAAAAATCTTGATAAACATGTTTCCTTTCGACCTACTAAACTATAAAGAACAAAACTAAGCGTCACTATATGTGGATAAGTATAGTGATATAAGAGATGGAACAGTCAGGAAATACAACTAGACAATAGATGCGAATCCTTACACCATCCTCAAGAGAGGGGTCATGACAGCCCCTTATTGTCATGTTATCAATGAGTGGGAGTCAGAGGTCACTTAGTGTGTATTTGGTGGTCAGTTATTGAGTCTTCCTAAGTGGGATTTCTAAAACTTCCTAAATAGGATACATCCAATAAGCTGGCCTACCTCTAAGGAATAGTTTTGCATTCTGAAAGAGCCAATAGTAAAAATATTCCAGCCTTAAATATTGCTTTTGCAGATATAACTGGTCTCAGGATACCTTGGTGCTTTAGTATCTTATCTTTTATTTAAACTAAAAAACTAGTTTTATAAAACTACTAATGCTCTGGTCAATTAAATTTTACCTTTCAGCATGTTTGATGCACATGTTGTCTCAATGCCTGATGTGCTAAAGTTGTCTTTTACTGCAATAGGAATTCCATCTAAATCCCCAAGTGAGTGACCTGCATTAAAAAGCCAAAAGAATAGGAGCTATAGATCCAGTTCAGAATATAAAGACACATTACTACTAGTTTTTACAAAAACTATTAGTTTTTTGGTAAAGATACTTCTTCATAAATCAAGTTTATGTTAGAAACTATTCCAGTTGGGCATTATAAAGCATCACATATCCATTAGCCTTATTTTTATTATACCTCATGGCAAGTTCTTTAAATAAGGGTATGTTTTATGTTAAAAGCCTCACTTGCCAAATGGAGACTGCTATATCCAATTAAATTCCTTCTCTAGGGATATACAAATTAAGTATAATTCACAGTAATTTACCTTTCTTGTATCTTTTCTCTGATTCTTCAGCTTGCTTTAAGGCCACCTCTTCTGATACAGTAATGTAAGCATTTAGAAACTTGGTCTTCTTGATAAGGGAGAGACATTTTTGACAGAGCTCTATTGGAGTAATTTGGCCTTGTTTCAGTGCTGCAGAAACCTATAATATATACAATTCCAAAACTCTTTACTGAGCCTGCAGAAGTTTCAAGCATTATACTGAGTGGGCAGATACACTGGGGAAGTATACAATTTTGAATTGAAGTTTGGATTCAGAACCCAGAGAATACTATACCTAGGTGGTGTACTCAATGAGGGTAACACTTCGGTCAGCTTGAGTAGGGGCTGGGGGACACTACGTTCATCGCCCCAGCTGAGGGCTGTTTCCAAGTCAGGTCTGCACCAACAAGTGCAGTGGTTTAGGTAAGCCACCCCATCTAGCAGGAGTGGAGGCCTGCAACGGGGTGTAGCATGGGTTAGGACAGATGGTGCAGAGAGTAGTTTAGCTGCAACGCAGGCAATCCAAAGTGGGGGGGGAGGGGGGGAAGGAAACAGACTGGACAAGGCCCTGCAGAACCGTATGGCTCTAGATCTTATAACTAAGATCTTTATAACCATTGTATAATTCAAGTCAGAGCCACTACAAATTAAGAGAATGTTTATCAAACATGGGTTCAAAAGCAAACTTAGAAGAAACTTCTCTGAAATCCTGTCTTGGATGCATTACGAAGGCTAGTAAAGAAAGTGCTAAAATAAAATGCGCTATAAATGAGCAGAACTTAGATGTTTATAGTAAAGCCTGAAGTGATGACTATGTAATACTTTCTGTAGGAAGTAATAAATACTTACTAATTAGATAAAAGAAATGAATAATAGTCAAAGAAGACACTAAAGCTTTGGAGATTATAGGAAAAGAGTTGGATCAAATGGGGGCTGAGAGAAGGAAGACGGGCGAAGGGGTAATACTTATTATTCACCAAAGACCAGACATAGGTGCTTTACATGCATTATTACTGCACTGAACCCTATAACAACCACATAAATTATGTATTATTAACCTCATTTCACAGATGAAGACTGAAGCTCAGAGAGGTTAGTGATTTGTCCAAAGCCACACAGTAACATAGGCTAGAAGTAACTTCATAATACATGCTCCTTCACCATCATCTCTCTCTGCAAGAGTGCCAGTTTAGTTTATCTTCTAAGTTGACTGTATTTTCAGGTGTCCTACATCCATCAAGCAACAGGAGTTTGCATTTGAGAGGAGAATCTACAAATCATCTGCTCTCAGTTGTTGAATAAATCATCAAAGCAGTGGTATTCTTAGGGCTGAGTTTTAAGATTAGAAAAGCAGTGGGAAGAGGCCACTGAGAGGACCCCTAAGGCTGATGCAGAAGAGTAGGAAAGCACTGCCGACAGGTGGCTGGACAGTGACTCAGGGAGGGGCGGGGACAGGCAGGCCAAACTGTAATAATGAGGAAAATTATGTCTCACTCTCTTTCCTTCTTTGCCTCCCTTGAAGTCTCCTAATGCCTACTATCCTCAGGCTGCTTTGTAACTTGCACTGGTATAAGAACACAAGTGAAAGGAGTTAGAGTTATGGTTACAAGGGCAAGAAATGAGATTGTCTAGGAGCACTCATTTGAAATGGTGCTGTTCTTCATTAGGACCATTTTTAGGAAATCCAGATTTGGGAAAATGAATTAAGAGAACTAGAGAAGAAAAATGAAAACAAAGATTCTAATTAGCTAGAATAGCCTGAGCATAAGGAGTGTGAATGTATAAACAGTGCAGCCTCCGTGGGACAAGAACTGAAGGTGTCATATCTGAATATGAGATAAAGTCAACCATAAAAGTTTTTGTTAAAAAAAACCCAAATTTGTTCTCCCTGGCACTTCTTTTCTCTAACAGAAAGTAGCCATTTCCTTGAGGCCAAGTCTTCTCCTGCAGCTTTCTCAAGAGATGACTACCCACTGTGGACCAGAGTCCAGAGGGGGAGGGGAGGGTGTGCAGCAGGCATTCTCATTCCTCAATGCCTTCCTCTTTGCTCTGCACTCAAAAATCCCAGCTAATCTGAAGTACAGGACTTGGAGGAGCTTATATCACACTCTTCCTGGGGTGTGAACCTACGGTTGGCCTGGCACCCCTTTTCCATTATTGAAGACTTTAGCACTTAGCTCCCTTGAATCCTCTTTACAGTGGCTCCTGTTGTTATTCCTGTTCACCTCAGACTTCAAATAATGTACACCAAAACCTGGCCTCTCGGTTCAACCTCATTTCCAGCAAACTCTTCCTTTACCTCACTCCGGTTACTAACTCGGCCCAGACTACATCACTACCAGTATCTGTATAATCTCCAAAACCTCAATTCTAGTTATCCTCCGCCTCCTGTCCGCCCAGCTCATTTGCTCAACCATCCATAGTCAGCCAAAAAAACGGGGACCTCAGTGCTACAACCACAGAGAAATCGAGTCTGCCAACAACCAATGAAGTCGAAAGAGTGAAACCAGTCTTGGCCGACCCCGTGATTTTAGCCTTGTGAGGCTCTTGTGAGCAAGGAATCCAGCTACTCCATTTCTGGACTCCTGACCCACAAAACTATGAGATGATAATAAGATTATTTTAACCCAAAATGTGTATACTAATTTGTCAGGCAGGAATTAAAAAATAATACACCTTCATAGAGGAAGAGAGAGGGAAAGGTGCTGAAGGAGTCCTGGAACAAATTATAGCAGAGAACTTCCCTGACCTGGGGAAGGAAGTAAATGTGGAAATACAAGAGGCTCAGAGGACTCCCCTCAGACGTAACTTGAATCGATCTTCTGCACGGCATATCACACTAAAAATGGCAAAATACAAGGACAAATAGAGAATTTTGAAAGCAGCTAGGGAGAAAAGGGCCCTAACATACAAAGGGAAACCTATCGGAGTGGTGACAGACCTATCTACTGAAACTTGGCAGTCCAGGAAGGAATGGCAGGAGATCTTCAATGTGATGAACAGTAAAAATATGCAGCCAAGAATCCTCTATCCAGCAAGCCTGTCATTCAAAATAGAAGGAGAGATGTCTTTCCAAAATAAACAGAAATTGAAAGAATTTGTCACCACGAAGCCAGCCCTACAAGAAATCCTGAGGGGGATGCTCTGAAGGAAAGGTTGCAAGGAACAAAGACACCAGAGACACCACCACAAACATGAACCCTATAAAAGATACAAAGACTCTAAACCCACATATGTCAATAATAACACTGAATGTAAAAGGGCTGAATGCTCCAATCAAAAGACACAGGGTAGCAGAATGGATAAAAAAACAAAATCCATCTATATGCTGTCTACAAGAAACTCATTTTAGACTGGAAGATACCTTCAGATTAAAAGTAAGGGGATGGAGAAATATCTATCATGCTACAGGAAATCAAAAGAAAGCCGGAGTAGCTATCCTTATATCAGACAAACTGGACTTTAAATTAAAGACAATAACAAGAGATGAAGAAGGGCACTACATATTAATTACAGGGTCCATCCATCAGGAAGAACTAACTATCATAAATGTCTACGCACTGAATATGGGAGCACCTAAATATCTAAAACAATTAATCACAAACAGAAACAAGCTAATAGAAAAGAATGTGCTAATAGCAGGGGACTTTAATACTCCTCTTACAGCAATGGATAGGTCAGCCAGACAGAAAATCACTAAAGAAATAATGGACTTGAAAGACACATTCGACCAGATGGATCTGACGGATATATTTAGAACTTTACATCCTGAGGCCAGGGAATTTACTTTCTTCTCAAGTGCGCATGGCACATTCTCCAAGATAAATCACATACTGGGACATAAAGCAGCCCTCAATAAATATAAAAGAATTGAGATCATACCATGCACACTGTCAGATCACAA